GCCAGCCACATCCCCATTATATGACCCTGTGAGAGAGAGTATATAAAATTTCTAGACTGATGGCTGGCGTAATATGTGTCAAGTATTTGTATGTATGCATATGTGTGTAATAGAAGAAATGTCAATTGTTGCTAAAGAGAAAAAAGAACAAAAGCAAGATTTCCCCTATTTCCCCAGGGTTCCTTTTTAATTTATGTCTGCTTCTAATTCTGTTGGATCAATGATTATGCTCATAATTATTACAAGCAAAAAAGACCTCATATATTTTTTTAAAGTTATGATTTAGCAACTGTTTCGATCATTGAGATTGTGTAACAAAGCCTCTTTAGGGTGTAGGGTGTTTCTGATTCGAGGCAGAGGTTCGAGTGGGGTTGGGGTTTTTTTTGCTCATTGTTTCAGTTTTGTTGAATTCACATCAAAATTAAGTTCACCTTTTTTGCTGGTTATCACCTATAAAGCCCTGTATGGTGCAGGACCCCTTACCTCCCATTGTCTCTGCTCACCTACCAGTTCTGACTAACTGTACACACATACTTCTGGTCTCTTCTGTGAAGCAATGTAATTTAATGAAAGCCAGGAGATGTGTGCCTTCTTTTATGGCACCTGCATTCAGATGGCCCCAATTTTATCACCCTTTTTGAAAGCCTTTAAAATCTGGTTCTTTCCTCTGGCCGGGATGAGGATATTAAGTAAGTCTAGCCTACAGGTAATCCTCAACTTACAACCGCAATTGAAACTGGTATGACTGTTGCTGAGTGAAACAGTCATTGAATTGTGCAGGATTGTATGACAAGTTAGGCTAAGTTATTAAGTGAAGTACATGGTCTTTAAGCAAATCACACAATTATTAAGTGAATCTAGCTTCCCCATTGACTTTATTTGTTGGAAGCACTGGCAAAGTCAGAAATGATCCTAGTACTGCAACAATCGTAAATACTTATCTGGTTACTAAGTATCCAAATTTTAATTACATGATTGCAGGATATTGCAACAGTCGTAAGTGTGAAAACCAGTCTCAGTCAATGTCATAACTTCGATCATTAAACAAATGGTCATAAATCAAGGACTACTTGTATGTGGTTTGAAATAAATATTTTTGTTGATCATGGCATGTTGAGATTGTTTTAATGATTTGTTGTTACAGTTTTTTTCATTTTTGTTTTGGACTTCTTTATGGGTTTTTTTAAATGTACTGTTAGCCACCCAGAGCTATGAGAAACAAATTGTTAAACAAATAAAGTATTAGTCTGTGAAAAGAACAAGCTCTTTCATTCGTTTATACAAATCCAATAAAAGGAGTTATACTGTATTAGAAGTACATCATTACTGTTTCATTTTAATAATTCCGCCAGACTTGGGCTACCAATCTTTCTTCAGTTTATTGTATTTTTTTCTCCAAATTAATCTAGGGATGGGTAAAGGAAATGCTGAAGAAGCAGAGAAACTTCTCAAATCTTACCTGGCTCGATATCCAAAAGTAAGATATATCTTAAGCTGATATAACAGTGACAAACTCTGTTAGGCGCTGCCTCATTTAAAAAAAAAATTGCACAAAAATGAATGTTTTATCTTGAATTTCTCCTAGGGTGCCATATTCCTGTTTTTTGCAGGGAGAATAGAAACAATGAGAGGCAATATTGATGGAGGGAGTAATCTGCTTTTTTTTCCCCTTCTCATGCTATTATTTCAGATCAAGAAAAAATGATTTGTGATCATAAAAGTGGAGTGTAAGATAATTTCTATAGAAGATCAAGGGGACTGTTAATTTTGAGCAACTGTACATGGGGCCTATAGTTGGCATGCTGGCTAGTTGGAGTCCTTTAAGGACTCTAAACATAGAGGCTGTCTCCCCAATTTTTTGTGTGAGGAGGCTGTGAGTTATGGGGAGAGGAAGTTAGGAACTTCTTTGTTCTGAGACAATCCTGACTGGATGCCTTGTGGAAGCAGACACGCTAAGAAAATAGATTTCATATAACTGGGTTAAAGAATTCAGCTCCAGAATCATGGGAGATCAGAAACCAAGGTAAAAGAAAGAAAAATTGGCAATGAAAATACAGTTAGGTATTACACGAACAATACACAAAGGATTCTTTATTTAGTTCTCTTGTTGTTTCCCTCAGTTGGGAATAATTGTGATTAAATTATTTTTTTAAATGCCCATTTTATAACTTGTATAATAAAAGCGCTGTTCAAAGAAAATGCCAGTTTTGAAGTGATAATTGCTTGGCCCTGGTTCCTAGTAAAAATGAAAAATGGAATCTTTAATTGAAGAGTTTGTGCTTGTGGAAGTAGGTTTTTTTTTATTCTTCTACCCAGATTTTCAGATGAGAGGTACTCTTTCTCCTATTCAAGAACTGGTAGTGGCAAATGAGAGAACTCTTAGAAAACTGCGTGTGTGTGTCTGTGTGTGTTTGTTTGTGTGTTGGAGAAGGAGAGAGAGAGAGAGAAAGAAAGAGGGGGAGGATGGGAAGGAGAGACCCTTCTACTTTCTACTCAGGTAGAGATAAAAGCAAATGACAATAAGATTATAGAAAGGAAACCAGCTAGTTAGCATGATTTTTTAATGATAGAAAATCTCTAACCTGTTCCTTATCACAAATAATTACAGACATCCCTCCTTAAAAAATAAACCAGTTTTGATCTAAAACTTTTTTGGTTATGATGTCCAATTATGGTCTATATTCCTTTACACAATATAGAAGTATTTACTTGGCACACAAATACTTTTTTTATCATATGCCAGATAAAAATAGATTTATTTGTCTAATATTTTAATTCAATCTGTTCCCACTGTTTAAATGCTATTTAGCAGTATTGCTATTCTAATCTATTCTGCTACATAGATATTTGTTTATCTTACTGTTTTTTTGAAAAAAAATTAATTTTTGTTTATTTTATATCCTTGATTAGCAACTGTGAACATTTGCAAATCTGACAGTAATAACTGATAGTCAAAAATAGTTTTTAAAAATTGCAAAATTTTGATGCAACAACACATGCAAGAGTGAGAATAATGCTAGTATTGCTGCATGAGAAATTTATCTAAACAAGGCAACAGGAAACCGTGATCTATGCAGCATTTCCCCAAAACCAATTGTGGTTGCTAAATGGGGACCACTTTTATTCTGAGAGCAGTTTTTTCTGAAAATACACCCACACACTCATGATAAGTAACTGAAACATTAAAGTTGATGTATTATTAAAATGGGGAAAATAGCATTAATACATTTCTAGGAAATATATGAACTGGAAATGGATTTGAACTAATAATATTTGGAGCAAATGGTTGATTTAAGGTTTAAGAAATAGAGGTTCAAAATGCCACTTGGTTACGAAGTAATCTTAAACTAATTCCTTTAGTTCAATTTAATCTACCTTAGGGTGGGTTAAAGGGTACATGCTGAAAAACTATGTATGTACAGTATATTACCCTGAATTGTTGGGATCAGTGAAATAAATTTAATAAGCAATAAATAAATAACATATCGTAAGGTAAATATTTAATTCCATGTACTTCCTTTCTATTATCTTCCCACACAGTTGTATTTTATTTTCTCAGTAATAATTTCAGGACATTAGCATTAGTGTCTGAGACTAATGAATGCTTGGAACACGTATTTTAAAGTTACATTAATATCCAGTCGGGGTTATATTTGTTTTTGCTTTTTCAGGCCATCAGAAGGTTTGAGGAATGTTGTGAAGCCCAGTAGCTTTGGAAACAGTTCCATCATATGTGCTACTGGGCACTGATGTGGTGCTTCACATATAAACACCAGTGGAAGATGGCCTATTTCTATGCAGATCTGCTTAGCAAAGAGAATACCTGGTCAAAGGTGAGTTAAAAACAATGATGTGGACAGGATTACAGATAGTCCGTGACTTAGAATCATTTGTTTAGCAACTGTTTGAAGTTACAATGACATTGAAAAAAGGGATTTATAACCAGTCCTCATGCTTACAAACCTTGCAACATCCTCAGAGTGATCTGATCAGAATTCCGGCTGATGTATTTATGACGGTAACAGATAATCAGAGTTGGAAGGGATCTTATAGGTCATCTAGTCCAACCCCCCACCCAAGCAGGAGACTCGATACCATTTCTGACAAATGGCAGTCCAATCTCTTCTTGAAAGTCTCAAGTGATGACGCTCCCACAACTTCCAAGGGCAAGCTGTTCCATTGGTTGATTGTCCTCACTGTCAGAAATTTCTCCTTATTTCCAGGTTAAATCTCTCCTTGTTCAGTTTCCATCCATTATTCCTTGTCTGGCCTTCAGGTGCTTTAGAAAATAGCTTGACCTCTTCCTTTCTGTGGCAGCCCCTCAAATATTGGAAGACTGCTATCATGTCTCACCTGGTCCTTCTCTTCACTAGACTAGCCATGCCCAGTTCCTGTAACCATTCTTCATATGTTTTAGTCTCCAGTCTCCTAATCATCCTGGTTGCTCTTCTCTGTACTTTTTCTAGAGTATCAACATTGTTTTTATAATGTGGTGACCAAAACTGGATTCAGTAGATGTGGTCATCTTTATAGAGTGGTATTAGTACCTCACTTGATCTTGATTGTATCCCTCTGTTAATGCAACTCAGGATTACATTAGCTTTTTGGCTGCTGCTGCACACTGCTGGCTCATATTTAGCTGGTTGTGCACTAAGACTCCAAGATCCCTCTCACAGTTACCACTATTGTGCCTGGTTTCACCCAGTCTATATGTGTACTTTTGGTTTTTCTTGCCTAAGTGTAGGACTTTACTTTTCTCTACATTGAATTTCATTTTGTTAGATATGACCCAGTGTTCTAGTCTGTCAAGATCCATCTGGATCTTGAGCCTATCTTCTTGGTTATTAGCTATTCCTGCCAGCAAATTTGGTAAGTTCCCCTTCTATTCCCTAATTAAATTGTTAATTTCCTTCATCTAAGTCGTAAGTCGTTACGGATGCAGCATCCAGGATGCTGGGGTCATGGGATCACTGTTGGCAACATTCCTAGCCAGCTATCTACAATGAGGGAAGTCGAATTTGCTTAACAATCACTTGATTCACTTAACAACTATGGTGATTCACTTAATAACTGTGGCAAAAAAAATCATAAAATTGTCTCAGGTCACTTAACAACTGCCTTAGTTGTTTAGCTGGAGAAATTCTGTCCCAATTGTGCTCATAAGTTAAGGACAAAAATAAATGAACGTTTGCTCACAAAATTATATAACTTATAATAAATGTATTCCAGAACATCTTTAAAGTAATTTTGATTGACTTCTGCAGAATAAAAAATAAAATAGTCTTACCTCTGGGCTGGAGGACAGTTGAGGAATGTGCTGTTGACTTTATCATACATAGTGGTTAACTTTCCTTTTTAATTAATACCAAATAGTGATTTAAATTTAAATGGGAATGTTCAGTTTGCTTTATAGGAATGCTTTCTAATATATAACATACAGGTAGCCCTCAACTTACAACCATTCATTTAGTGACCATTCAAAGATACAACAGCACTGATAAAAAGGAGTTGCAACTGTTTTTCACACTTATGACTGTTGTAGCATCCCCATAGTCAAGTGATCAAAATTCAGAGGCTGGGCAACTGCAATGTATTTATGATGGTTGCAGTGTCCCAGGGTCACATCATTCCCTTTTGAGACCTTCTGACAAGCAAAATCAATGGGGAAGCCAGATTCATTTAACAACCATATTATTAACTTCACAACTGCAGTGATTCACTTAACAACGATGGCAAAAAAAAAAAATAGGGCACAACTCACTTAACAACTGTTTTGCTTACTTCCAGAAATTTTGTGGTACAATTGTGGTTGTAAGTTGATGACTACCCAAATGTCTTAATATGATGCGGTGAACCCAATCAGTGAATGGATAGTTACTGATCAGAATTATTTTTATTCCCATGAACAGTACAGTTGATCATTGTCTTCCCACAAATACAAGGGAGTTGTTTTCTTAGATTTGAGGAATCTGAATTAAGAACTGCCATTCAAGAGTATGATTATGATTATGATGATGATGATGATGATTATGATGATGATGATGATTGTTATTATTATTAGTTTGCAAAATGTGATTGCTTCTATTTTAAAGTGATCAAATAAACCACATCAATTAAATTTGAATCCTCCCTGGCATAAATCTTAAAACCGGCTATATAGGAATTACAGTACGTTTTACTATTTTTCGAAGGGTTCTTAGTTTTCCCTTTTAAAAATAGCAAGCCCATTATGATTCCTTTAACCTAGCCTTCCTCCACATGGATACCCTTCTCCCACTCTAAGCACAATGTTTGATGAGAATGGGTAAATGATTAGTCATAAGTTCTGCAATGTAAGTCTGTGTATATAAAGGCCAAATGTTTATCAATTCCAGTAAGGAGAGGACCCAGTAATAACACACTGGTAGAACATTTATTTTAAAAAAGTAGTGCTTGTTAATCTGGTAGTATAACCTTATTGTCCTTTTTGGTGCTTTTAAGCATATAAATACATACTAACATTAAGAGAACAAAGATAACTAAGTAGAAGAAGAAATGGACAAGGGGAACAAAACTGATGCAAATTCCTTTTTAGAATTAGAATTCTTTTATTGGCCAAGTGTGATTGGACACACAAGGAATTTTTCTTGGTGCAAATGCTCTCAGTATACATAAAAGAAAAGATACATTCATCAAGAGTCAAGAATCATAAGGTACAACACTTAATAATAGTCATAGGGTACAATAAGCAATCAAATCATACTAGGAAACAGTCAATATAAATCGTAAGGATACAAGCGACAAAGTTACAGTCATACAGTCACAAGTGGGAGGGGATAGGTGATAAGGAATGATGAGAAGATTAATAGTAATAGTAGTGCAGACTTTGTAAATAGTTGGACAGTGTTGAGGGAATTATTTGTTTAGCAGAGTGATGGCTTTCTGGAAAAAACTGTCCTTGTGTGTAGTTGTTCTGGTGTGCAGTGCTCTATAGTGTTGTTTTGAGGGAAGGAGTTGAAACAGTTTATGTCTGGGATGTGAGGGTCTGTAAATATTTTCACAGCCCTCTTTTGACTCATGCAGTATACAGATCCTTGATTGAAGGCAGGTTGGTAGTAATTGTTTTTTCGGCAGTCCTAATTATCCTCTGAAGTCTGTGTCTTTCCTGTTGGGTTGCAGAACCAAACCAGACAAGTGCAGATGATAGACTCAATAATTCCTCTGTAGAACTGTATCAGCAGCTTAATAAATTGTATGTCTATTGATATGTGTATCATTTGCTTGGCAAATAATTATGACTGGATCCTTATGTCAACAGCCCATTATAATGTTGCATTAGATATTATATTGCTAAGGAAGATATTGTTTTTTTACTCTGAGAAATTCTGAGGTGTAATTCTGATTGCACATATTGCTCACAAATTAGCTCTGTGTAATTTTATATTTTCTTGCTGACAAGAATAGATATTTTCCCATTACTAGAAAATAATACACTTTCTGCTCCTTTCTGGTTTCAACATTATTGATCTGCATGTTTTATTGGAGATGATAACATGAATATATCTCAACAATATTGTTTTTCTTTTAAGCTACTTATGTATTTAGGAAACCTGCCTATCTCAGCATGTTTAGAGCAAAAGATTATAAACCTTTTGGAGATGATGAAATTGAGCTATTTAGGTAAGACTTTTGAGAATGAAACAGATACCAGAATGGAAGATAGTGGTTGATAATGAGAGAAGATAAACTTCTTTCATTCAGTCACATTTTAAAACTAAAGTTGTCATTTTGTGTGCTTGTGTGAATTTTATATTTACATCATCTTTAAAGTTAAGGGAGATCTAATGGAATATTCTATTCATGGTGATAAGTTACATTGTGTCATAATTATTCAGGAGAGGGTATATGTTCTTCTGCTGATCATCATATACTTGCCCTGCTGCTGGTAATTTCTGAGCTAAGAGAATGGTATTTTCCTAAAGCAGGAATAATTTCTATCTGGGTCACTCTGCCCATTGTTAGCCAAAAATCTCCCTGGAAGGCCATTCACTGTACCGTTTCAGATTCTTCAAATCTCTAGATGAAATTTGATGTAGCACAAAATGCTTTTGTTGTATAATACAGGAACAATATCATTTTTTTCTGTTCTGTTTTGATTTCTCCTGTTTTCCTTTTTTCTAGTTTTTAGAAGATGACAATTATCATACAGGAAATCGTTTAAATGTGTATCTCTTGTTTTTCTTCCTAGGGCTGTGCCTAGTTTGAAACTGAAAAAGGCAGGGAAATCCTTGCCTACAGAAAAGTTTGCAATTTGGAAATCCCGGAGATACCTTTCCCCAAATGCTGTTCGACTTCCTGTGCCTGTTTTGGTAAGCTGGAAAAGATCCCTTCTCCACACCTGTTTCTTATATATAAATATGCTAGTCTATGACTATTATAATATTGATTTGATTTGAATGTCTACATGGACCCAAACATTATATACAAATTCTCCTGATATTTCTTTTAATTTGATGATACTGGAGATAAACACTCCATGAGGATTCTAACCTGCTTTTATCACAGCATTGTGTATGCATTTTTGAATAGCTGCTATTCTTTGTTTTGAGTGCCACAAATAAAAGCAGTGGATTATATTAACCAACCTTTCCCAAACAGGTATCATCTGGTGCGTTGGACATATTGAGTGTGAATTATGACACTGAAGTCCATCACAGTTAGAGAGAGTCGCATTGGAGACATCAGATTATGGAAAAAAGCATATGCACAGATGTATGAGTCCACTGAACCAGTTGTACATTATGAAAAAAAGTACAAAATAATGATGAGATCTGTAAATCAAGCCAATCAGTGACTCACGCTGGATAACTATTAACAACGCAAGGGTTTTGTATCTATAGAGCTTCATAGTGCAAATGGAGAAAACTATGTAAATGGAAAGTATTCCCAAAAAGATCACATTTATAGTGCACAAATAGATGTGTATCTCTTCATTTCAGAAAATGAAATTCTTTACTTAATTGACTTTTTTGCCTCATTTATGGCTGATAATCACTTTTTGTCTTTCTTGGTGGAACAGCATAACAAGAGCACCAGATGGCGCTCACAAATAATAAAACTGTAATCTGAGGAATTAGAAATTGGAATTGCACTATTTATAGGAGGCTGTTAATAATTAACTGTAGCACCAGGCCAATTTTGATTCTGATGGAAGGGTCCTTATTACTATGCATGTTGAAGAAAGTGCCTTTTATGTTGTGGTTCTGTTCCTTCAAACTCCTGACTAATTGAAACTGACACAGAAAGAACTTTTCAGGAAGGAATGACGAACTGGAAACAGCTCTACTAAAAGCAGATTTAACAACTACTGTGGAATGTAGACCCTGTAAGTAGATCAGGTCTTTGTAATTCTTCTCCAGACAAGAAGAGGTCTTAAGAGCAAGTGCAAGTGCTTTAGACAACTGCTCCTCATTGATAAAGGAAAATATTTGTAGCTCAAAGTTAAAAAAAGAACGAAGGGGGGGGTCCTTGGTGTTGTTTAACCTTGGATATTTTCTTTCATTTAATTAGCAAACTATATAACATCATCAGTGCATAGTTTCTCCTCACTAGGATACCACAAGACAGTGATCTCTGGCAAATTAAGAGATCTGGAACACAAAGGAGAGTCTTTTTTGCTTAAACCATGGCCAGCACATTTATAGATACTGGGTTCACATACTTTTTTTTCTAATCACTTTGAGAAGTTGCTTATTAACTATTTTTTAGTTATTAGGAACTTTTGGATGTACAAGTCTAAAAATACTGGGTGAGCTTCTTTTAATTTGTTTTAGTAAATAGCAAAAGCATGGTTAGAAATTTTATTGTGGAAATTTACAAATGAACTAAGAGTCCAGATGGATTTGAAGTAAGATTTTGAAATTAATTATAAAAGTTCTTGTGGAAAAATGCTTTTGTTTTGAATTATTTAAAAAAATGATAGGGAAAGACTTGGAAGGTTGGACACCAGAGAAAAGAAGGAAGTAAAGATTACCATTAAAGGAGAAAAACCACCTAAATTTGACAGTGACATAGAATGAAGAAAAAATATTTTAACATTGTATATATTGAAGGATGTTTTTGAACACTAGATCCAGAACCTAATTTTAAGAGTGTCTGCCTCTATAGATAGTTTTTTTTAAAGATGTTACAGAAGAAGAACAAGTTTTGCCTGATGTAAATGATATGAAAAAAGATGCTACATTGGATATATAAGTAAAATAGACTGGTATCTTAGTAATTAAAAGGGACAGACAAATAAAAAACTAAAGCAGTAAATTGGATTTATTTATATTGGATTTAAGAGACTTGTTAAAGCTTTAAATAATTTTGTGAGAAGAGACAAAGAAAAAATGAAAAGAACTCATGTTCTAGAACATTATATGAATGGACTAAAGATCAAGATTGTTAAAAGTAAAACAAAGGAATATAGAGTTGTTTTATTTGATCAAGGTTAAAACAGACATTTGGTGTGGAAACGCTTCAGGAGAATCAATGATTTGGAAATAGTGGTCACATAATTAATCATGGCTCAGCTCCATAGGTCTCTTTAGGCAATACCTGAATCTAGCTGGCTGGGCAACACAGCCAAGCCTTTCTTCTTTTATTGAGTGACTTTGCTTGTTCTCATATACCAGGTTGGGCACTACTTTCAGGCTAAGTCAGGTTCTTCAGGAAGGAGCTGCAAGGTGATGAGGATTGGTCAAGAAAAAGGCAGGCTAGAAGCTTGGGCTGCCCAATGTGCTGACCAAGAAGGAAGGCTGGGCCTGGTTGCTCTACTGCAAGAGTCTCCCTTTTAGGCAAAGAGTGGGGAAATCAGAGAGGACGCAAACAAGATCTCTCTGCTGAAATATTCTACAAGGCAAAGAAAGGTTTCTATCTTCTCAGCAAAGAAAGAGAAGAAAAAGGGAACTTGAATGTGGTATGATAACAGATAACAGATAATCAGAGTTGGAAGGGTCCTTGTAGGTCATCTAATCCAACCCCCACCCAAGTGGGAGACCCTACACCATGTCTGACAGATGGCAGTCCAATCTCTTCTTGAAAGTTTCAAGTGATGGCGCTTCCACAACTTCCGAGGACAAGGTGTTCCATTGATTGATTGTTCTCACTGTCAGAAAGTTTCTCCTTATTTCCAAGTTAAATCTCTCCTTGTTCAGTTTCCATCCATTATTCCTTGTCTGGCCTACAGGTGCTTTAGAAAATAGATTGACCCCTTCCACTCTGTGGTTTTTCTAGTTTGTTTATTTCTAACTTGGTTCTGCTAGCTGCCACTTCATTTCTGAAGATTCTGAGCAATTTACAAGTGACAATCAAAAATTAGAACATACCTTCCAGAACATAACACAACAAGGTGCTGCTGTGTTACCCTGCAGGGTAATAGAACCTTCAGATGTTTCTTTCCAGGTGCCTTTTGGAAGATCCCTGTAATATGTAATAGGAATATAGATGTGATTTGGAAAAATATTATAGTAATAAAACTAAGCACTAGTGTTTTTCCATAGAGCTGTTCCGAGTGTCCAGGTTGGGAGGAGCTCCAGTCTCGGCTCTCACAGGCTGAGCTTGAAGTTGAGGAACGCCTCTCACCATCACATGGTCCTCTGGGCGCTCCCCAGTTTTTTGCTCAGCCTCGTGGCAGTCAGGCTGTTTTTTCTCTCGCTCCCTGGTCGTTCAGCATCTTAGAGTTCTTTTTGATTCAACTTGGACCCTACTATCAGCAGTGCAGGAATTTGAGGTTGGAACTCCCTAGGGAGTCTTTCTCTTCTAAGGGGAATCGCTTTCACCGTTTCTTCAGGGGAAAATCCAGCGCTTCGAGCGCTGCCCCCCCCCTTCGTTTGCCGCCTATTCGCCTCGCGCGAAGCCGCTTCGTTTCTTTCCTGCCTCGTATTCTATCCGCCGTTTCCCCCCCGCGAACGCCCTCTAGCCCTTCCCTGTCTCTCCCAGGGTCTTTTTTGTGGCCTGCTGGTCTTTATTACCAGCCTGAGATAGCCGCCGCTGGGGTTGCTCTTGCTATCGCGGTCTCCATTTTGGGCTCCCTGTGGCGTCCGCCATCTTGGGTGCACCCAGGAGCCGCCGCCATTTTGTGTGTGGCCGCATGGCCGTCCGCCATTGCCAGAGGCCCATAACAGGCTGCGTTTCTTTATTTGATCTCTATGCAGATTTCGGACTGCCTACAAATTAGCCTGCACGTCGATCTCCCTGTCAGGCCCCTCCGCAGAAGTAAGGGTCCGTTGGCTCCGCAGCTTTTCCCCCAGCAGGCGAGGTAGCAGCTCTGCCATCCCCCTTCCCCGGTCCTCCCAGCAGGGGTAGCTGCCTGGCGTTCACCTTTCGGCTAATTGGCTTCTGGGCTAGGCCCTGTTCCGCACCAAATCTTTATTTTAAACAAAAAAATTTTTTTGATCAAAAGGGGGGTGCGAAACGTGCGCTGGGATCCCCGGCCTCTACATAGGCCGCATCCAGACGTGCCAACCGTCTTGCATCACCTCTAAATCCATTTCCTTTGTGGCCTCATGGCCGTCCGCCATTGCTAGAGGCCTACCTGCAGGCTGCGTTGTTTTGATTACTGGGCAGATCCTCGGATTGTCCAAATCCTTGCTTGCACCTTGAAAACCTTGCCTTGGTACTCCTCTTCACATAAGGGTCCGTTGGCTCCGCAGCCTCTCCCCAGCAACGCGAGGTAGCAGCTCTGCCATCCCCCTCCCCCGGTCCGCCCGGCAGAGGCAGCTGTTTGGCGTTCATTTCTGGCTGATTGGCTTCTGGCCTAGGCCCTACTTCTTTACAACTTTCTAAAAAAAAATTTTTTCTTGATCAAAGGGGGGTGCGAAACGAGCGCTGGGATCCCCGGCCTCTGCGTAGGCTGTATCCAGAACGTGCCAACCGTCTTGCATTAATCAAAATTTTACCTTTTTTCTTCTTTTCAGATGGCAGATGACAATACATCTCGTGGCCAAGTCAAAATCTCATCACCTGCGCAAGCAGGCACAGGAGGTATCCAAAGCCACCCAAAGGGATGCCCTTAGGCGACACAGGGCCCTTGAGAAGGAGATTGACAGGCGCTCTAAAGAGTCAAGCTCTGTGCCCCTGGATCCTTCCACTCCCAATCCCTCAACCTCCACCCCTCCTCCTCCCCCCTCCTCCCCTGCTTCTCCTCTTCCTCACAGCCTGGTCAGGCCCCTGAGGCCACCTTTACCCCCACTGCTGCAGGACTGCGCCCGGAGGAGCCTCACCCACCCCCCACGGTGGAGATCCCCGAACACCTGAAGCAATGGATGGAGCTGGCCATCCGGCAAAGGTTAGCGCAAGAGATTCAGCAGCTGGCCGGTCTGGCCCCTCGGCCTGCGGCCCCTGAGGCTCAAGGAGCAGCGGCCTCGCATGGTCAGGTAGCATTCCACGGGGACTTGACCTTGCCCTTGGGGATGGAGGAGATGGAGACCCAGGAACCCGGGGGCCCTACCCTCTTTGGGGATGAGGAAGACCTCGAATTGGGATCCATCATAGACAGTGAGCTCCTCTCGGGAGCAGGCCCCCTGGAGGGGGACATGTCGGAGGACGAGGGCCTCACTCCAGACCAGCCCGCGTTTTTGGGGCTGTTTAAACCGCACCTGTTTAGGTCTCTTCTGTTCAAGGCCAGGAATACCTCTGGCCTGACCCCTCCCGCTCCACCCAAGCCAGCGGCATCGGGGGAACCTCCCGACTCTATCTTTTCCCAGCCCGTGGTGGAATCTGAGGTGATTCCTGTTCCACCCATCTTTTCCGACATGGTCTCAAGGCAGCTAGCCTCCTCGGGGCCCCCTCCCCCCCAAAGCCCAGGACAAGCGGTTTTTCAACCTTGAACCGCAGTTCTCTACCTTGCTCGATCCCCCTCCTGTGGACGAGCCCGTAGTAGGTCTAGCCTCCCGCTCTACTCCCAGCGAGTCACTCGAGGCACTCCAGCCCGAGGACAAACCAGCTGAGCTGGCCCTGCGCCGCGCTCACCTTTCTGACGCCTGGGCAGTCAGGGCTTCCACTGCCGCGTCCTTTTTCATTAGATCTTCCATCAAGTGGCTCCAGCAGCTCAAACAGCATGTTCCCGCATCTAACCTCAGAGCGCAGCAGGACATCGCTAAGATCACGGCCGCGGCCGAGTTTTCGGCTAACGCCACCTTTCAGGCCGCAAAATTCTCTACCAGGGCCATTTCGTCCCAGGTTACCGCCCGTCGCCTGCTTTGGCTCCGCCACTGGCAAGCGGACGTAAAAAACAAGGCTAAGCTAGCTTCAGCCCCCATCTCTGGGGGGAAACTATTTGGACCGGTTCTTGATCCATTCCTGGCCGAAACCCGTAACAAACGCAAATATCTCCCCTCTCTTTCTTGGAGGCCTGACTTCAGAGGTTCCTCTCCCTCTTTTCGCCAAGGCTCTTCCCGTTCCTCCTCCTTCCCCCCCAGGTACTACCAATCCTCTCCCTACAGGCCTCCTGACCGGTCGGAGCCAGACAGGCCCAGAGGTACCTCTTTCAGGAAGCCCTCCCGGGGATCCGGGAGCGGTCCGTTCCGTCGTTCCCGATAATGCAGTCGCCCCCAGGTGGCTGCCCCCCCCCCAAAAAAAAGGGGGAAGGAGAAAGCCATATCCTCTTTAGGTTTTCGCCTAGTCAGTTACTGATACTCAACCCCTGCAAAACCATTCTTCTCTTCAGCCTTGCCCAAACTGTTGGGGAAGCTTAATCCTCAACCGCATTACCTCTATCTCAAGGTTCCCAGTAGGCCATACGGCACCATGGCTACAGGCTTCTCGGCTGGGGCACTTTCGCCCTCCTCATCTTGCTCCAGGGCATCTGGTCGGCAACCCATCTACCCCCATTCCATGCTAGCTGGGGATCCTCGCTGCGCTCCCGGCCTTCCACAGCTTCATAACCCAGGTACGCGGACCTCTCGCTCTGGTCCTCACTACACCTCATATCCCCAGTCAAGGCGGCCCTCTGCCAGCAAGGCTCTTGATTGAGGCCGATCGCCTTGCTGTTGGGTGGAACCGAACCTGGCCTCCACCAGGACAGGCCACAGTTCGGGAACACTGTGCACCTATGCAACTGCCTCCCTAGGGCCATCCTGCTCCTAGCAGAGGGGCCCCTCCTCCCCTCCCATGTCAAGGAGGTGGCCCGTTGTCGGGCTCCCCACGGCGTATCCCTGCGCACCCTTCTCAGCGCCCATCCCTGGGTTCTCCCTCGGATAACCCCCCAAGGGGCGGGGAATTCCACGACCCCTGGACCTTGGATCCTAGGGCTCCTCCATGCCCCCCCTTTCCATCGCTATCCTCGCAACGGTGGTTCTCCGGTCATTGAGGGTTCATCCCCTCAACCCCATCTGGGTCTTCCTCAGGGGAGCTTCCCATCCTCGCCCCCGCCCAGGCACCTTCGACCCGGGTCCTTGACAGGGCTCTGGCCGCTCTTACCTAGCCCCCCCGGAACTTGCTAGGGAGGTTTTCCTCCCAGGGCCCCTCTCTCCGACCGGGCCTTTCTCGTGGTCATCTCATCCGCTCGATTGCGGAGATGGCAGTCTCTCCTTAGACAGGCTCTTGCGTTTCTCATCCTAGCCTCCTTCGTAGTCAGGGGCTCACTGTGCCCCCTGATCTGCATCCCTCGGTCCCATTGTGGTGCCCACATCCGTGGGCTACTGGATTGGGGCCGCCTCTGCCAAAGTCTACCAGGCCCAGGCCCTCTCCATGGGTATCATAGACCACACCGCTAGAAGTGCGGCCTCCTTGCCCCACGGCCCCAGTAAGCCTCCATCGGCGTCACCTGCAGGGCTGCCATTTGGACAGCCCTATCTCCTTCATTAGGCCTTCTCAGTTGAGGCATTGCACCCGCCGAGGGGTTCTCCTGACAGGCGGGTTCTCCAGCGGGTCCTCGGGGTTCCAGGAGAGGTTCCATCCCAGACGGGAGCCCGCCCGCAGGACTAGCCAAGCTTTGGTATGTCCCAACCTAGACACTCGGAACAACTCTATGGAAAAGGGGCGTTGGTTCTTACCTGATACGCTTCTTTTCGTAGAGCTGTGGAGAGTGTCCAGCCCCACCCATAGGCCGTCTGGTGGGGAACCTTGCTGTTCGACCGAGCAAACTAAAACTTTTTTAGTAAGATGAGAATAGGGTCTTCCTTCTCGTCTTCGCAAAACTGGGGAGCGCCCAGAGGGCCACGTGATGGTGAGAGGCGTTCCTCAATTTCAAGCTCAGCCTGTGAGAGCCGAGACTGGAGCTCCTCCCAACCTGGACACTCTCCACAGCTCTACAAAAAGAAGCGTATCAGGTAAGAACCAACGCCCCTTTGATTACTGCAAATTGCTGACAGCTGGGAGTTGAGGTAAAATGGTCCTGCTTCATAGTTCTATTATGCAAGTTTCATTTTTTATTTAATATATTTGAGGAATCTACTTGGGAGAATACAGATCCGTTCTTATGAACACTCATTTTGTAGATGGAATTACTGGTTTCATGGATGCATACTGGTTTAATTCGATTCATATATTCTGTTTTCCTTAATTTTAAAATCACCTTCCCATGTACTGTTTTTCTTCCAGATTGGATTTGCATAATGAGTGGAAAAGGAAGGTTAAGAGAGAGGGAGGGAGGGAGGAGGGAGAAAGAGACTTAAAAAGTAGAGAGGTTTTTGATGGAAAAGAGTCATTTGAAAGAAGAAATAATTTATCTAAATTTAATAGAAAGGAATTACATTCTCTTCCACCTAATCCAAATCTTCCTATTATTATTATTTATTTGATTAAAATTTTATGCTGCCCATGTTCCCCATAAGGTGACTCAGTGGCATTTGCTTTGGCCTTTTAAATTAGAAGATTAATAGTTGAAATAAATTATTTCAAATAAATAAAGTATTTTTTCAAAGATCTGGGGAAATAATCACATACTATCAGTGAGGCAGACAAATGTGTAGATGAAGAATTGCTGGTTGCAGTTTTGCAAGAAGCTAGCAAAAAGGAAATTCTGTCACTACAAACTTAACAAAAATACTTCTCAAATATTTATCTGATGTACTCATATATTTTGGAAGAAAATGTCTCCAGTAACATACATTATATTTCAATATTTTTTAGGAAACGATGTATATCTGGAATGGTTATGCAGTGATTGGGAAGTGCCCAGATTTAACTGAAAACATGTTGGAGTCCTTAGCAGATGCAGAAACAATCCTGGAAAAAGGCCCAGGTAATCCAGATCTACATTTATTATTGTTGAGGTAATTCCCCGTTAGGAGAATGAGTGCATACAGGGAGACGTATTGAGAGTAGTGTTTGAATAATACACACACAGCACATAGATACACCGTACAGTAAATGTAGGTTTTTACTTCCCTAACTGTTTAAGCAAAATTCAAACAAGCAGTCTAAAGTCATTCACAGGTAAATGAGTCAGTTTTCAGTCCAGGGATAATCCAATAACAAAGTCCAGTGTCAAAAACAGTTCAGTGTCAGACTTACATCAAATCTAGGAATATCAGTCAATTAGGAGGAATGGCAGTACTCTCCAACAGAAGGAAACAGAGACTCACTGAGACACACTCTCTTCTGAGACTAAGACTAAACAACCCAGGTTTCTGGCTCCATCTTATGGCCGTTTGAGTAACCACACCCAATTACACTTAGGATTCTCTTAAAGAGACAGTATTAAAATGTCTATCCTGGTTTATATATTTCCAACCCAAATAGCTGTTAGGTGACTTATATTCCTAACAATTATCCTTCCCCTTTCTATTTATAAATATTCGTTTCAAACCTCAGATAAGATTGCTTACACTGATAGGAGGCCAGTTTCTGGGGAATTTGAGGGTATAACTAACTGACCATGTAAAGCAGTAGCCCCCAACCTTTGTGGCTTGGCGACCCGGCTGGTGCGGGGAGAGGGAAATCGAGCCATGCGAGCAGTGGGCCAGCGTGTACGCACTCGTACGCAACTTGACTTGTGTGAGTTGTGGGCTGGCATGCATGTGTATGCACATACAACTTGACTACAAGTTGAGCTCATGCATGCTCACTGATCCGCCACTTGCATGAGTCGAGCTATGCATGTGCATATTTGTGCTAGCCCGCTGATCGCATGAGATGAGCTTTAGGCAATTAAGAGTGGAAATGAGAGTAAAAAGAGTCTTCTCACTCCAATTCCTAATCTTAATTTGGGGCATATTTGGAGGTGTTAAGAATGGTATTAGGAACAGATTGTTTCTGAGGAGCAATTTAGGTTTTAATTGTGGAACAGCATGGGTGACTGTGGTCCACTGATCATAGGTAGATCTCAGTAGCTGAAAGTCTAAACACTGACTGGGTTTAAACACTTTTGTAAGTCAGAATTTACATGTAAAATTTGCCTTCAGCTTCCATATGCAAAGTGAAAGTAGTTCACAGCTATTAAAAAAGCAATGAAGAAACAAAAGAAAGTTGACGTTAAAATCCAGCAAGGGGTTAGAGTAAATCAGCCTTCAATCAGTCAATTAAAATTTTAAAATATTAATCAAATAAAGGGAAAAAACAGTAATATGTGCAGTTAAAAACCAAGGCAGGCTTAAAAACCTGGACACCTGAGAGGAAAATATAGACCTGACTCTGACTGCTCCTACCAGGAATTGCAACTTCCAGGAGTGTCCAGAGAGTTATTCTGGGTCGTTCTTAGCTGTTCCCATTCAATCTAGGGAGCCAGCTGCCAAGAAACCTGCTTTGGCAGCAAAATCAGCTGTTTGTCAGCAGGAGAAGCAAATCCCCTCGCTGCTCAGCATATCATCTTGGAAGAAGAGTGTTTAAATCCTGACTGGATTTGAACACTTTTGTAAACCAGAATTTCCTTAACTATTGGAAAATATACCTGAGTTCATACAATATACTAAACCTAAACCAAGGAAGTCCTATAATGATACTGTAGACTTATCAATATATATAAACCCAGCCAGTCAGTGGTGGTATGCTACCAGTTTGGACCGGTTCAGCAAAAGCCTCTGACAATCAGCTGAGAGGGGAAAGAAGAGAAAAGCGCAGGATCGACCCTCCTACCCGCCCCTGCACTTTTCTCTTCTTTATCCTCTCAGCTGATTGGCGCTGCAGGCCTCAGCTGGTGTGGGGAAGGCTGCACACCCGTGTTAGGTGCGTGCATGTAAGGTGTGCATGCACACATGCGCAATCACCTAACCGGTAGTGGAACAGGTAGGATCCCACTGCTGCAGCCCGTGAGTTATATATGTTACCTAGCCAGTAACACGATGCATATGTTCTGACCAAGGCTTCCTGAGACACATGCTATTTGCAAAACCTGTTTTTTTATTTCAATGGCTGTGAATTATATGCATTCACAGCCCGTAATGAGTCCCAAACAGTTTATGAATAGTCCAACAGAAGTCTATCACAGTCTTTCGGGATAAGGCTGATAAGCACCCATCTTTATCTCCCTTGAAATGCTGCCAACGACTAAATTGCCAATTAGCTGTACAAGGCCAAACGGAGCACAAAGTCAACACGGAGCTTCAGAGTTTAAACCGACCAGAACAAATAAGTTGTTTCCTGCAAAGGCTCATGTCCCTTTGCTCCTCCTTTATGTGTTATTAGAGGGGCCAATCATCTCCAAGCCTTATTTCCGAGTCGCCCCTTTTGTCTTTACTGTTCTTGCCTTCTGGCAGCTCTGCGCAAGGGTGCACTGGGAACAGGCTCCCCCTATTCCTCTGCCTCGCTGATGTCAGATTGTGGAGGCTCTGGAGTCAGTACATAACTCCCAGATGACCCTGGCCCCATCTCTGTGTCAGATGCAGATCCCTCATCTGAGCCCTCCCCAGACTCCAGGACTGGCCCATGTTCCTCCCCACTGCTGCCAGCTCCGCAGGCCAGCAGCGGACCACAAGAGCATAATGCACCAATTATTTGAATTAGTGACTTCATAAATAGAGACATAATAGAAAATTCTTCATGTAATCACAGAATTTATGAAGTCACTAATTCAAATAATTGGATATTATATCATTTAAACAATGTATAGGGTAGTTTGAATATGTGTTATCAATAATTATAATGTTCATAACTAATGTGTATATAATAATATTAGATGAGAATATTAAATATATTTCACCATGTTTGCTGTCTTAGAAAGATGTCTGTCGTGATCCAGAATTACCTCTGCATCTTCTTTCATTTTTCAGCTACAGATTTTCTTGTTGATGACCATTGCATGATAAAGCTTCTGAAAGGGCTATGCTTAAAACATTTGGGCAAGATTTTGGAAGCAGATCACTTTACTTATATTCACTTCAAGTAAGTTTCCAAACTAGAAGATGCTATTGAACACTAAACCACGAATGGCTGCATTAAATGACCAAAGTTTCCAAGCAGTCTCTTCATGTCAGTTAATAAGCTATATGTATTTATATAGATATAAATCTATATTTATATAAGTTCTAACTGGTTTACAGTTAAAATCAGGAGATGGGTTTTAGGAGAATATAAATTACTCTGGAAAGAATATTGGTCATTTCTTGTGAAAGTGACTACATCAAAAGATGATTTATCTAGTAACCTAGTAGCTCCATCAGTCTGGGATCGTAGCTATAAGGGTCAATATAAGCTTAGAGTTTTAAAATAGCTAAAGTGGCTTAAGTTGTATAACTTACATATGGGTAGTCCTTGACTTATGACCGCAATTTGGACTGGACCTTTTATCGCTAAATGATGCAGTGATTAAGCAAGCCATCATGTGACCAGACCAGAATTTCTTCTTGTCAACCCTAATAACTTTATTCTTGCTTGTAAAATTATTGTTATTCATTTCATGTACCTTGCCATTTCTTATTTTAAGTGAAAAGAAGATCAAGTATGATCATTACTTAATTCCAAATGCGCTGCTTGAACTTGCTTTATTATATCTGGATCAAGATAAAATAGAAGAAGCAGTTAAGATCCTGGAAAGAGCAAAGTAAGCCTGTTGAAGTATATCTTTCTCATTATCAGTAGTAGCTAAGGTGATGGGAAGGGGTTGAAGTAGGTTTGCTGAAAATTCTTAGAGGGGCTCCAGTGACAAATAATTCTGACTTACTAGGTAGGGTGCTTATTTTCAGTCATTTTGGTATAGAAACATAGAAGATATACAATATACTTCAGTACATGAAGATTGAAGCATACATTTGTTATTTATTTATAAATTATATTAAGATTTATGTTTGTTTTTTAATTAGTGTTGTTAGACTTTGACTGGTGCCACACACACACAAACACCAGTCACCATCCCAGAATAAAGAATGGGGAGTAGGTTTTGTATCTGTATCCAAAGAGAGAGAGTGTGTGTATTGTTACATGAAAGCACAAATAAGATTGCACTATTTCAGTGAATGTAGTAGAAGTCACACATAGGTTAGTATATTAACTTGCCCAATATGTATGAAATGTTTTATTTATGCCAATATGGTAACTTTAAGAAAATTTTTCTTTGAAAGTGCTAGGCATTGTATTTACTTATAAACAAGTTGCATTTTTCCACATATTGTTCCCTTTTAAAACAGAAACATTTGAAAGAAAACAGATATTTTTGTCTTTTTCCGTGCAAATATTGCTCTATTCAATCTAGATTATGATAAACGCTGTAGGTATGAACCAATCACAAATATCTGTTTGTTTTAGGCAAAATTATAAGAATTATTCCATAGAAACAAGGACACACTTCAGAATTCAAGCTGCTTTGCATCAAGCCAAATCTCTCCCAGATGATGATGATCATTCTATAGCAGTGGTCGGGGAACAGGGGTAAATTACCCCAAATGGGGTAAAAGTGAAAATCTGGGGGTAATGAGGAGGTTGCGCTGGCCAATGGCGGAACTATCGGCATAGCAGCAGTTATTACGGTCCATTATAGCACGGACGGCCAGTGTCAGTGTGTGTCAGTGTCACCGCATCCTCCTTCTCTGCTCTGCTCCCCCCCCCCCGCTCTCTCAGTGGACTGCTCCAGCGTTTACGTGTATGGTGCAAGCGCTGTAGAGAGAGCGGGTACTGGGGGGTCATCTGGCTACTGACTACTCTAACCAGACGGAGCGCGTGCCGGAGAGGGAAGGGTGGGGGCAGGGGGCGAAGGCGGTTGGTCTGAAGCTTTCCGGGACAAGCCTAACTTGAAGGCGAGGGGTGGCGGAGCGCGCACGTGCCAGCGCAGCTGTGGGCGAGGGCGCTGGAAGGCCGCCCGCTGCCGTTAACCCAAACGACTGCTGCCGCGCTCGGCTCTCTTATGGGAGCATCTCAGTTTACATGCCGTTTTTAAAGTGCCGAAGTCTAAACCGCGCGCCCCGACTGACGTAGCCCCAGCGCTGCCTGCCGCGAGCTCGCAGCTCCTGCCGCTGCACGCCGGAGGTCGCGTTTGCTTCAGCCAGCCAAAACTCGCGAGCTGGACTGAAACCGGGAGGGCGCGGGGGGGGAGAGACGGGGAGGACAGGGGAGGGCTTCTGGCGCTGTCGCGGTTCGTGTCTCTGGAGCCCGCGAAAACAAGTCGGGGGCGCTGAGAGGCCGAGCGAGCAGGTTCCCTCCCTCCCTCTTCCCTCCCTGGCGGCTTTTTGTGCCAAACGGGAAAAGGTCGGTTTGGCTGGCAGCAGCTCAAGTGTCCGAGGCGATGGCCATTTGCGCAATTAAGGCGGCTGAGATAAAAGGTTGTTTTCTTCCCGCTCCCCACCCATCTCTGGAGCCACCTGGAGTAGTTTGCCTTACTCGGATTGCCAATTTTCCGCGCTCTCTCCGCAGACGCGTCTATAAAAGTTGGAAGGTGGCGCGAAGTCAGCAGGTGCAGCCACAGAGAGTGCAGTACAGAAGAAGCCTGCTCTGTCATCCAAAGAGATTCGCATTACAGAAGCCCCTCGAGCTGCATGTTAGGAGACGATTCCTAATGCTAAGTTTCCTCCCCTGAACGATCAATTAGCCAGAGAAGCGATGGGATCCCCTTTACTGGCTGGGTTCAAGCACAGGCTGGAGGCAGTCACTTGCATTCCTTTGCATTCCTGACAGAACATAAAAGTTGACTTCTGTGGCCTAAATCGCTTTTTTTTTTTTACTGTCAATATTTTTATGAAACTTTCTGAATTGCTGAGCTGAAGTGTTTTGACATGGAAGTTTGTTGTGCCTATTGCCAATTTGAAGACAGTCTCTACTGCCTTTGTTTTGAATAGAAATTGGCAATAGCCACAACAAATTTATTTGATTTGTCAATTGCTTACAAGATAATAGGTATAAGTATAAACATAATTATGAATACATGAAATGGATACATATAAGAAAATAAAAGGAAACAATAGGACAGGGAAGGTAGGCGTTGGTGCACTTATGCACACCCCCTACAGACTTCTTAGGAAAGGGGTGAGGGACTGGTGTATTTGAATTCAAAATGTTATTGGATGTATTATTTCCTTACTTTCAAATCAAGGGGGTAACGTCTGCGTTTATAAATTTTTTGGGGGGTAAGAGGTAAAAAAGTTCCCTGACCCCTGTTCTATAGCAACTGTGGTTTTGTAATGTTATTGTGTTTTTTTTAATCAGTTCATTTGGTGTACAGATCTTCACAGATGGATATTACTGGCAATATTTTAAAATGGTTTCCATGTTCACATTCAGCATGTTTTTAATTTTAAAAATTCTGAGGAATAAACTCTAAAAAGCAGTATTTCTTTCGTTATCTCTGTGTACTATTTTCAGCTAGTTATAAGCATTTTGAAATATATTTGTTAAGTTGGTGAATAATAGGAAATAAACTAGTAGAACCTTGAAGACTTCACCTTGATCAGATTCAGATGGTTATTAATTTTTAAAAGTACTAATTAGGTTGGATCTTATTTTCTTGATAATAACTGAATTGCCTGTTAAATTGCTTATTTAAATAGAACAATATGTAATGGGTAATTGGTCCTAACCTGATACGACCTTTCTCTTTGTGTGGAGACAGCATTCAGGATTGGGTGATCAGTCTCTGCCTGTGATTGGACTGTCTGTCAAAACTTTGATGACACTCCCTCTGCTGCTCAGGACCTCCCCAGAAATTGGCGAAGGAATAGTGACAGACTGAAGTGTTCTCCTATAAGTATAATACAGAACACACCACGAAAGGGTGGGACTGAATGCTATCTCCACACAAAGAGAAAGGTCGTATCAGGTTAGGACCAACGACCCTTCTCCATTGTGGTGGAGATAGCATTCAGGATTGGGACATACCAAAGCCAGCTGTCCTACGGGTGGGCCTAGTGCGGTCCGAATCCCTTATACAGAATGGACTTTTTGCAGAACCCTCCATCCAAAAGCTGCCTCAGCAGAAGCAAATGAGTCCAGCTTATAGAGCCTGATGAATGGAGGAGAGGCCCAGGTAGCCACCCTGCAAACCTCCTCCAGAGAAGCCTGGGTGGCCCCTGCCATCAATGTTGCCGCACTTCTTGTTGAGTGTGCTGTTATCCTTGGAGGAACTGCAAGTCCCTGTGTTTGGTAGGCTTTGGATATGCAAAGTCTTATCCATCTCCCCACAGTCGTTGGAATTACCTTGCAGCCCATGGTGGAAGGTTGAAAGGAAACAAAGAGGGATTCAGACCTCCTGAAGGACGATGTCCTCTTGATGTAAATCCTCAACGCCCTCCGAATGTCCAGAGTATGCCATCGTCTTTCTAACGTGCGCACAGGATGCGGACAAAAGTCAGGTAAAATTAGTTCTTGGGATCTGTGGAACCACGAGTTCACCTTTGGCATGAACAAAGGGTCTAGTCTTAACACCACTCGATTGGTGGGAAACACACAAAGGTCTTTCCTGACAGACAAGGCTGCCAGGTCCAAACTCCTTGCAGAGGTGATCACTACCAGAAAGGCTACCTTACAAGACAAAAACTGCAAGGGAATTGACCTCAGTGGTTCAAAGGAGACCTCAGTCAATGACTGCAGTACTTTAGAGAGGTGCCATGTTGGATATCGATGAACTACTAGAGGCCTCAGGTTTGTAACCCCCTTCAGAAACCTGCGGACCGTGGGATGTCTAGACAAAGATTCCACTCCCCCCAAGGATGGAACAGAGGACAAGGCTGCAACCTGCCTCCACAGAGTATTAGGTGAAAGCCCTTTGTCCAGGCCCTCTTGGAGGAAGTCCAGCACCTGGGCAATCGAGGCCCCAAAAAGGACAATGTCATACTTACAACACCATGCGCTGAAAGTTTTCCAGGTTGCATCGTAGATGCGGTTGGTGGAGGGTCTCCTGGAGGCCTGGATAGTTCTTATTACTCTGGAGGAATAATTGTCCCAGATCAGAGATCCCTGCTCAATCTCCAGACAGCCAAGTGAAGCCACTGGGGCTCTGGATGCAAGATTGGCCCCTGGCTGAGCGATACGCTGTCCTCCAGTATCCTCCAAGCTCTGAAATTGGAAAGGTTTATTAATTCTGCAAACCATGGCCTCCTGGGCCAATGAGGGGCTACAAGGATGAGCTCTGCTCTTTCCACCAACAGTTTCTGGATGACCCTCGGGATCAGGGGCAGAGGAGGAAGGGCATACAGGAGCTCCCATGGCCAAGGGCTGCGTAAGGCGTTCGTTCCCTCCGCCCCCGGAACCACACACCTGGAATAGAATCTCAAAAGTTGCGTGTTGTTCTGGGAAGCGAAGAGATCCACTGCTGGGCATCCAAAGTGCTCCGATAGCTCCTGAAACAAATCGGGATGCCAACGCCACTCTGCATGGTCAATAGTGGCTCTGCTAAGCCAGTCAGCCTCAACATTGGCCACGCCTGCAATGTGCTCAGCTCTGAGCGACACCTGGTGTCTCTCTGCCCATAAACTGGGCTGCTCTGCCTCCAGCATCAGAGGCCCTGAATGAGTCCCACCTTGGTGGTTAATGTGTGCCTTGGTTGACATATTGTCAGTCAAGATTAGGATGTCCTTACCTGAGACTGCATCTTCTAATTGTCTCAGAGCCAGATGGACTGCTCGAAGCTCTAACCAATTAATATTATGGTCCAAATCTGCCTGGGACCATTGTCCTTGGAGCACCCTGGATTGAATGTGGGCACCCCAGCCATGAAGACTGGCATCTGTGGTCAGCACTAACCTGTTCGGTTCCTTGAACAGGAGTCCCATGGAAAGCGCCTCAGATGACCACCATCTTAAAGACTTAAGGACCAACAGAGTTAATCTGACCTGTAAGAGGAAACAACTACCTGTCTTCTGATAAGGTAAAAGGAACCATTGGAATGACCTGGCATGCAGTCTAGCCGAGGGCACTATATTAATGCATGATATCGTTTTCCCCAGGAGCTTAGAAAGCGTAGCCAGGGATATCCTAGGTTTAGATTTCACTTGTCCAATTAACTCCCTGATACTCTCCTGACATTCTTGGGATAATGACACCTTGCAGGAATTAGTATCTATAACAGCTCCCAGATGGAGTAAGGTATTGGTGGGAGTGAAGTGGCTTTTGACCTCGTTGACATAGAAGCCATGCTCTTGGAGCACCTGAATGGTGATCTCTAAATCCTCTACAGCTCTAGATGGGGAAGATTACTGGACCAGTATGTCATCAAGATAACACTGGACCCTAACTGGTATAGCCCTAAGGTGGGCTGCCAGGGCTGCCAACAGCTTAGTGAATGACCTGGGGGCTGAGGAAAGTCCAAAAGGCAAGGCCCTGTATTGGTAGTGCCTCCTATTGTAGCGGAACCTGAGGAATTGTCTATGAGCAGGGATAATAGGGACATGGAGATAGGCCTCCATCAAATCAATGGAGGTAAGGAGTCCCCTCCCTAATTCCCTCTAG